ATGGTAGTGGTGGATGCGGGGGTCAACTCCCACTCAACGAAGCAACGGAAGGCATACATATATACATATTTATGTACATAGATTTATGTAGAGTTAAATTTATGGTCAAGAGTATGCAAAGTATTGGAGATATCGATTTTAGGTTTGGTGGAATTGAAAAGGTTACGAAAAAATCAACATATTTTTAAAAAATAATACAAATTAAAACAAGTAAGAAAGTCTAAGTTCGGGCGGAGCCGAACATTAAATACCCGGCGCAATTATTAAATATATGTTTTCCACCTTTCCGAAAGCTACCGCTACACGATAAGCCGGGGTGTATAAATTTTAAGTAAATTAGCGTCCTTAAATTTCGAAATATTGAAATTTCAAGCATTTCTGAAATATACCGTTATATGAAAAGCGGTCGTAATTTTAGTCCGATTTCAATAATTTTCAACGCTTTGCTTTTATGTGCCAAGCACAATAACCATACCGAGTTTGGTTCAAATTGCTAGAACGGTTAGCGAAATACATATATGTAATCATAAGTGGGCGGTGCCGCGCCCATTTTCCAAAATTGTATCATAAGCGCATTTCTTGGTAAAAAATTGTTGCAACCATCAATTTTGAATAAATTAGCTTTAATATTTACTGATTTATCGAGGATTTCGTATTTTTCTAAATTACCGTTATATGGGATGTGGGCGTGGTTATTGTCCGATTTTAAAAAATTTCGGCCATTTAGTATGTTGTAGCAGGACCAACAACTGTGCCAAGTTTGGAATAAAATGATGCAGCGGTTACCAAGATATACACATGTAACCATAAATAGGCGTGGCTACGCCCATTTGCCAAAATTTTTTAATATTCTTATTTTTCGTCTAAAACTCATTGTAAATATCAATTTTGAGTGAATTACCTTCAGTAGTTACTAAAATATCGCACTTTTCGTATTTCTGAAAATTACCGTTATATGGGAGGTAGGCGTGGTTATTGTCCGATTTCGCCCATTTTCAATACCATCCGTCCTATGCCCAAAAGAAGTCTACGTACCAAGTTTCGTTAAGATATCTCAATTTTCACTCGAGTTATCGTGTGCACAGACGGACGGACGGACAGACAGTCACCGCTTAATCGATTTCTCTTTTCATTCTGATCATTTATGTATACATTTGTCTATATCCATCTCGATTCGTTTTGCCTGTTACAAACAACCGTTATGTGAACAAAGTTAGAATACCCTTGTGCACAAGTGCGCTCGGGTATAAAAAAATTAAATAAAATTTATTATAAGTTTAAGAAAATTTATTGTACTAAAAAAAGTTGCATTTATGAAACATTGACAAGTGATTAGGTTGCAAATAATCAATTACGTCTGATGTCACGATTAATGTCAATAACGGCATTACAGTAGGGCGGGTCGAAAATTTAATTTTTCTCAAATCCTTTGGTAATAGTGAAAATACATATATTGTATCGTGAGGTCAACAAAAAGCCTATAAAATATTAATCGTTTATTTTAATGGCAAGAGAGCGCGCATCGACCCCCACGTGACACAAAGCACACTGGTCGAATAAGACGGATTCTTGTTAAAAATTCTGAGGATATTAGTAGATAACAAAGCCCTTTAATTTATGGTTACTCTAAAACTTATCTATTTTCCAACCAAATTGTAATTGTTCTGTTGATAATTGCACTCATACGGGAAATCCATCGCTTTTGTAAGTTTTTCTAAATATCTCGAAAACTTGTAGTCTTATTGAAAAATGCTTTAATAACCTTTCACCTGATATATCGTCTAGTTTATAACAATTAACGCATTCCCTAGATACTATTTACCAGCCAAAGTTTAATTTTCCAATTTTATAAATTTTTATTACTATTTCGTTACGATTAAATGGCTTTTATTTTTCCCCATACAAAATTTACCCAACTTAATGTACAGATACTCACAAAAGTATTTTGCTTTGCCTTTTCCTAACCTATAACTTTTTTCGTTAATTTTTTATAAATATATGTGTAAATAGCTCACAAAACCATGTCAATAAAAATTTCAAACATTAGACAAAATTAAGGAAAATTCAGGAAAATTTCATAAAAGTACAATTTTGAAATTAATAAAAAATTTCGTTGATTTTATTAATTTTTTTATGAACTTTTTTGCATATAACGAATAGGTTAAAAATCTGCATACTCGATTTTTTTAGAAAATCCGATTCAAAATGTTTTAAATTTCGATGAAAGTATGCTGTATTTTCCTTAATTCTGTTCGAATTTTGAAATTTTGATTTCCATGGTTTTTGTTTTGGAATGAGCTACATATACCATATTTTTAAAAGTTGGCGAAAGAAATTTTTAATGAAAATCATTTTGAATAGACATCATAAAAAAGAACCAAAGCAAAATACTTTTGTAAGTAACTGTACATACCTACCTATTTTCGTGCGTGGGAATAATAAG